GGGAGCTGGAGGAGGCTGTCCGCACCCTCCAGGACCGCATCGACCGGATAGAGGTGCGAGGGATGCTCCCGCGGTGTTGGGAGGGACGGTCCCAGGGGAAGACGCTCCTGGGGATTTGGGAAGGATGCTCCCAGGGGATGATGCTCCTGGGGCGATGCTCCCACATGTACCATTCCCCAGGCATGCAGCCACACACACCCCGAACCAGCTCATCCCTCTCATGAGGCTTCAGGAAGGTTGTCTGTGCCCTGCTCTTCCCTGAGGTTTCTGCTCAGGAGCAAGGGGCTTGCCCTCAGCCCACGTCTCTTCCCTCTGCACAGGGTAGTCCCAAGGGGCCAGGGCTGCTCTGCTTTCCCCCCTGTCTGCACCCAGGTAGGGCACTTTGCTTGCCCCATAGCACCTGCAAGGACTCCTCCAGAGCAGGTTGGCAGCTCAGGGCCAGACTCTGCCCTTTAGCAGAAAGGTAAATCCCATCTGATGCCATCGCAGTTATGAATGGGACTGCTCACAAAGTGGAGTGCAGTGCAGAGCCCAGCACCTCTTCCCCATATAGTCCATGGGAGCCGGAGGGAGAAGGGTGCAGCTGCAGTCACTTGCTGTGCCCATCCCTGCGGCATTGGGCTGTTGGCATTTAGGATGCAGACCCCTGATCCCCACTCTGTAGTGGCTGTGCAATGTGTGCCCAGCAGGCTCAGCCCTGGCCCGTCCACAAGCCATTGGCACTAAAGGCTCTACCGTGACATCTGTGATGGGGCACATCATGGAGGGCATGTGAGTGTTGATTTATTTGGGCTCAGCAGACCCCTGAGCTCTGCTGGGTGTCAGAGCCACCTTCAAGAAGCCTCCTGTGAGTCCTCAGCCTTCTCATCTTCCTGTTCAGTTCCCTGTTGCCCTCTCCACTCCTCCATGGAGTGTGGAGCTGGGAGTGGGGCAGCATCCCATGGAGTCCCTCTCCTCAGCTTTGGGCTTCTGCCTCTCTCGCTATAGCCACATGCACGCAGTGGCAGCAGGCAATGGGTGGGGAAATTCTGAGCCACTAAGGTCACAGGCTGGATGAGGTTGGGAGAGAGTGTTATTGTAATGGATGGAGATACGAACAGGGATAGAAAGACAGCGAAAGACAAACACATGCATGCAAGATGGAAATGAGCTGGAGACTAGAGGAAGCACCTGTGAGCTGCCAGGGTAACTCACACACAGGCACAAGAGGAAACACAGAGGCATGCCAGGCATGTGCAGGGAGATGGGAATGTGCAGCCTGTCTGAGCATGTTGCCCAGAGCCAAATGCAGCCAAAGGGAGGGACAGAGCCACCACAAAACCCCCCCTGCAACCCCCAAAAAATGATTTCCCAAGAGTGGGATAGTGCTACTGGTGTGCTTACCCAGGAACAAAGGGGAGAAAATAAGTCCCTGCACACATATACCTGTGTGTTTTTGAGGACCGGGTGATGCATGGCGGAATGGTACCCAGCACATCAGTTTGTATCTTGGGAACCATCAGACCTTTAGCTGTTCTCCAACCATCCTCTCCCCCTTCTCCAAGAGGAAGCACCATCTCTGAGCTGCCTTGGTCCCTGTCCTGGGTTTTCTGATGATGGCGGGAGGTTTGGGGTGGAGGAGGGTGATGCTCACAAGGGTCGGAGCAGGCTCTTCTCCCCCAGGGAACCTGAAGCAATGCTGGGACGAGGTTCATGCACATACTGATGAGGAAGCCAAGTGGCACGTGGCCAAAAATGTTCTTTTTTTGTGCTGCCGGGAGCCTGAGGGTCCTAAGCATACTTCGCAGGGGAGACACAGCACCCCGCGGCTCAGTGAGCCCTGCCGGATGAGGAACTAGGGCAGCGTGTCACAAGTGGGCTGGACCTCAGCTGCCCTGGCTCCTGCCTGGTATGTGCCACCTGTGTGAATCACACCCCTGGGAGGGATGGCCACAGCCCAGCCGGCCAAGCCCTGGGGTCACACCTCAGCCATCCAGTGATGGTTGCCTGTGCCTTCCCTCCCTGGATTGCCTCCCCCTGCCCCAGGAGCAGGCACCTAAAGCTTCGTGGTGGGGTACCTGCACACCTCTGTCCCACATGGCTGCAGCTGTCAGCCCTGGGAGCCTTCCTGGGGTACCCCATGACATGGGAGGCACCCCCAGCCCCCACAGCTATCTTGGATTCTGGCAGTGATCACCCCAAAAGGTGACCTGGATGGGGACAGTCCCGGGGTGGCTCCCAGTGTGCTGGAGGCTCTGTGAAACCCATTGGGGAGGAGAGAAAATGCTGCAAAGTCTGTGGTGGCCTAATCTCAGGAGAGGGATGACACAAAATGCCATGTGCTGCCTTGGGAAGGCTGCATCCCAAGGCATCTCCAGGTAAGATTGCCAGCAGGGATTACTGCTGGAGGCTTTGGAGTTGGTACTGAGAGGAGGGGGCAGGTAGAAGATTGCTGTTCTAATCCAGGCACTCTCAGCTCTGTCTGTAGGGCATAACAAGATTTATTCATGCACTGCAAAACCTATTAAGACGTTTGTTTCTTAATTTTGTCAGCATGGCAGCAAGACTTCCCAGGGGAGGATTCAGGGAGGGACCCCACAGTCTCACTCTTTGTCCCCTGCCATTTCAGCAGGGATGGGCTTGCATTGTCACAACATTGACACGGGGACTTCTTCCCTCACCTCTTCCCAACCCTCTACAAGGGTTGTTGTCCTTTCCTCATGCACAGCAGCCTAGTTAGGCTTTTTTGTCTTGGTTTTGAGGGTTCCCCCCTTCTCTCAGCATGTGCTCATGTCTGTATGCTTGAGTGCATCTTGGAACACAGAGCCAGGGGGCTCAGATGGTCCTTTTCCATACTTCTAGTTATTGCTGCAAATGGAAACAGAGCATGGAGGAAATCACCTTGGCTTTCTAGGCTGTGCCCAGATGCAGGTGCTCCCTTTCTTCCCATCATCCCTTGCAGGAGATGGAGCAGGAGAGGAGACAGACTGGTGGGCTCTGTGGAGAACCTGGCAGAACTGTAACAGCCTGTTTGCTCCTCAGCCAGCATGTGGCTGTGCCGGTGTGACTGGTGACCTGGCTGCTGGCAGGAAACCCTTGGCTATGAGAATGGGAATGGTAGTGACCTAGCTGCCTTCCTTCTGTCTCCATCTCCAGCAGTGTGGGGATGGAAATCCCCAAATTCTGATAGTCCCAGGCCCTGAGCAAGGTTTAAGGGGAGCAGGATCAGTGGTGAGCTCTTCCCTTGTTAGGAGGAAGGAGAGGCTGATGCATCCCTGCTTGTCTTCTGCCCCATGCACTCCTTCTTGGGGTTTAATGAACCCCAAGGATTTGCTCGGGTCCGAAAAGGTGGCAGGGTCCAATAAAGAGTGGTGCAGCAAGTGTGCCATCCTGCAGCAGTGAGCATCCCGGGGTGGCAGGCACAGAGGAGTTTTGTGCAGCCTGGAAGAATTCCTGGGTCCAAGGAACAGAATGGGGCTGCTGTGTGCACGCACCCAGGTGACCATCACGATCCCTGGGATGTGCTGAGGCAGCATCCCGTGGTCCTGCCTGCCCTGTCCCAGCAGCTAAGGTGGGCACTTGTGTGCTGGTGGCCGAGGGGGAGCAGCAGATTTGCCAGTGCATTAGTAAATGAGGCTCTGATCTCCTTATGTAAATCAAAGTGCATTTGCCGACTGAGGGCTACAACCCCAGCGAGCACACGCCAACGGGGCTGCCGCAGACCCCCAACCCACCTCTCCCCTCCCAGCCCCCGGCAGCCGGTGACATTTAAAGTGATTAATATTACCTGGCTCTTCCAATCTTTTTGGCCCGTTCTAGTGCTCAATAGCATCAAACGAGCCTCCCCGCACCCGCTGCCCACTCCCCTGCTGCCTGCGCAGCAGCAGATGGGGAGCCGGGTGCCTGCCGAACAGCCGGGGAGAAGGCGCTCCCCCCTTCTCGTCCCCCCCAAGGCTACTGGTAAATAACAGCTGCACATCTACCATTAATAATTTTACCAATAATTTGGTTTGGGAGAAAGATGCTTGAGGGGCAGCTTGGAGATGAGGAGGATGGTTTAGGGGATGCAGCCCACCTTTGCACCAAGGGGATCACCCGGCACATCTCAGCTGCATGGGGTAGAATGGTCCAGTCTCCTGTCCAGCCATGGTCTGGCTGTGGGGATGGGAATGGTGTCCACTGGGATAGCCCTGAAACTCTGCCAGATGAGGCTACTGGCTACATTCCTTTCCAGAAGGAATAGGGGGTCAGCAATGGTTCAGTTGGCCGTGTGGATCTGTCTGTCCATGCACTGGCTGCCATGCTGGAGTGGCCAGCAAGATCTAGAGAGAGGGCTGAAAGGGGAAAAACTCAGGGAAAAGGGAAGAAATTGAGCAAGAAGGGAGAGATAGCATGTGTGTGCACAGAGGGGAGCATCAAGAGGAGACACTCCAAAGCCAAATAAGTGAAAAGGCCATAGGGAGAAAAGTTACAGAAGGAAGAAAATAGCAGCAGGGAGAAAAGCAGGAGGAAGAGGAGGTAAAAAAAGCACTCAGTCACTACTGAATAATGTAGGGCAGGCTACTGGGGGCTAGTGAGAGTGACAAAAGCTCCCAGCCTTTTCTTTTTTCGTCATTAACAGATGGAGCCGTGCATGAAGCAGGGACGTAGGCTCCAAACCCGCAGCTCGAGCAACCAAAGCGTGCAGCAGACAGGAGCGTGCCAGCCTCCGCTGTAGCCGGGTGGCCTGAAAGGATGAGGAAAGCTCTTGCAGCCCGTGCGATGTGGACACAGAGGCAAAGGCAACCCCATCCCACCTCTGCCAACCCAGGCAGCTCTGCTTGGGTACAAATGCAGGCATCCACCAGTGGGAACTGTCCCTGCCAGGAGGATGAGAATTAACCATTTCACTCACCTTTCCTTCCCTCCTGCCAGCCCTCCCCTGCCTTTCATCCTGCCTCACCAGCAGATCCCCAAGTCTTCTCCAAAAAAAAAAAAAAGGCGAAAGACCTAAAGCCCCTTCCCCATTGGCTAATCCCTCCCTGTTTTACAGGGACTAAAGGTAGGATGCCCTTTGCCAGGCACCTTTCCCTTCCCAGAGAGGTTCTGCTCTCTGCAAGAGCATCCTTAGTGCTGCTGGAGCAAGCCGGCAGCGAGAGCTGGCGTTTGGTCAGGGCTGACAGATGTCCCCTGCACAGCCTCTCTTCCCATGCTGGGATTTGCTTCTCCGGATTGGTTTTCCTCACAGAACCTGTGGGTTTGCCCCAACAGACCCTGCTGGCACCTCTTGCAGACCCTGGGACATCACAGCCTCCCTTTTATTTGTAGCCTGAGTACATTGCAGCCCAGTGCAGGTACATTTGTGCTCACACCAACACCATGCTCTTGCTTTTCCTCCCCCTGCAGTTCCCATCCACCAAGGCTGTATCCTGCCCAGCCAAACCTGGCTTTCCTCCAGCCTCTCTCTCATCTCAGTTGTTCATGATGGATAGCAGAGATTGGGGGTGAAATGGGCAGGCATTCCCCCCTTCAGCTTTGTGTGCATGATTATCAGGTCCTGTTCAGTTTGGAAAAGCAGGATGTAGGGAAGAAGAAAAAGCTAGAAGCCATAACCACAGCTGAGCGTGCTGACCTCCTCCAGGCCAGCTCTGAGGCCGTGGGGAGGCTGTTCATACCAACAAGAATGGCATCCCCCCATGTCCCACCAGTGTAAGCCACATGAATATCCAGGGCTGAAGAAGCTGTGCAGAACTCTCGGTGCTGGAGCACCCAAGGCAGCTCCAGCACCTTTGGGAAGGTCTGGAAACAACAGAGAAGGGGGTCACCATCTTTCTGAACCCATGGCAGAGAGACTAATGTCCCAAAGACATGGGAAAAGGAGAGGGTTCCTATTTACAGAGAAACCCCACAAACATGGCAAAGGGTCACCTTCTCCCTTCCAGCCTGATTTTCTTCCAGCTAGGATAGAGTCTTCTGGTAAGGTAGGATCTGGGGTCTTTGCAGAGTGTAGCAGCAGCTGGGAGCATATTCACCAGGTACCATGTTAGAATTGCCACGGGAAGAGTTTTGGTCTGGGTGTTAACCCTGATGAGACAAGACATGCTTGATGTGCCCAGGTGATGGGTCATGTCTTGAGAACAGACACACACAACAGACTCACCACTGGTCCCACTTCTCCATGGCATCCACAAGGCCTGGGAGAGGCTGGCTCACAGAGAGCTACCTGCCCAACCTGGCGCACGTGCACACACCCCCGCATGCCAGCTGAGCTGAGCTAAGAGGATTACAGCCCCATTAAGTGATGTTAATGTGCCGGACATAGGTAAGCAGCCTCACAAGCAGAGCAACAGGGGTGGAAGTTCCAAGGTCCTTCCCACATTGTTCCCTCATCGTGAGAGGCTGCCTGCAGGAGCAGAGCCAAGGGATGACCCAAACATCCCATCCTTGCTCTGTTTCTGAAGCAGCAGAAAGTCATTAAGAGCAGCCAAGCTTCATTTTGCAGTAATGATCTCAATGGGGCTCTGAGAGGGGAGGTACAAAGTCGGCTGGAGGCTCTTGGAGGAGACCCCAGTGCGGATATGGGACTGTCATCTCAGCACTCCCTGTAGTGCTGCAGGCTGGGCATGTCCTTATTTAACCTCTTACAGTGACACCTCCCTGAATTTTCTCTTTTCTCCCTCCTTTCCCCTCTGCCTTGGCTGCCGCTGAGTGCAGCAGGAGCTGCCAGCCCGCACCAATGGCTCAGCACCCACTGCCCCGGCATTTGCTCGCGATGCCCTCCACACCAAGATGGAGCAGCTGGAGGAACAGCTCCTCTCCAAGATCCTGACCCTGCAGAAGGAGCGCCAGGCCGCAAACACTGACCACAGCCAGCAGCAGCACAACATCGAGAAGGAGCTGAACTCCCTCCAGAACCGGGTGACGGAGCTGGAGCACGGTAAGTCCTGTTCGATGGGGATGGAGGTGGGGCAAGGGGGTCCCTAGCCCAAAGTGTATCACCAGGAGAACCCCAGCACAGGTCACCCTCCACAGGTGCTGACCCTTCTCTCTCCTCCCCATCCTTGGCACGTAGGACCGCTGGGTTACAGCCCTCCTGATGCCTTCAAGGTGACCATCCCGGTGCAGAACAACTACATGTATGCCCGCATGAAGAAGAGCCTGCCGGAGCTCTACGCCTTCACCATCTGCATGTGGCTGAAGTCCAAGGCCCTGGCAGGGCTCGGCACCCCTTTCTCCTACTCTGTCCCAAGCCAAGCCAATGAGATTGTGCTGTTGGAGTGGGGCACTAACCCCCTGGAGCTGCTCATCAATGACAAGGTCAGCTGGGTTGCGGGAGGGGCAGGAGAAAAGTCCCTGCTCTCATGTTCCCTGTTTCAACCCACACTGGTATGGGGGAGCTGGGAGGAAGGGCCCAGGCGTATGGGGAGAGGGAGGAGAGTGGGGAGGATGGCTCACTGAGGTGGGTTTTGAGAGGCAGAAGCAGCACAATGGGACGTCTGTAGATTTTGGGTTGTCACCGCCATGGGAGTGCGCCACTTGCTTTGTGAGGGGCTGGGGAGACACTGGGGTCCCCGTGCAGTCCCACTTGCTCTTCCCCGGAAGGTTGCCCAGCTGCCGCTGAGCCTGAAGGACAAGGCCTGGCACCACATCTGCGTGGCGTGGACCACCCGGGATGGCAAGTGGTCGGCATACCAGGATGGTGAACAGCGGGGCACCGGCGAGAACCTGGCCTCCTGGCATGCCATCAAGCCCCAGGGTGTCATCATCCTGGGCCAGGAGCAGGTATGTACCAGCTTGACACTGAGAACTGCCAGTTAGCATTGCTCTGGTGGGAAGCTGGCTGGGGAAAAGCCCCCAAATGGGGCAAAGGCAGGGGGTGGTGTGGGCACAAGAGCTCAGCATGGCATGTTGGCTCTCCTGCCTGCTCATCTGACCTCCAGCCTGGCCACGTGCACTCATTGTCTCCTCTTCCCTCTCCCTATTCCTCTGGCCTCTACTTGCTCCCTGTCTTATCTTCTTTCATCTCCTCCACACATCCATCCCCTCCCCTCCTTGCCACCAAGCATCAAGCTCTGCTTCTCTCCAAACTTTTCCCTCTCCCTCTTGCCCTTTTTGCCCACTGGGTGCATGTTCCTCCTCTTGTGCTCATCCCTGTCCGATCACCTCTCCTGCTCTTTCCCAGGACACTCTGGGGGGCCGCTTTGATGCCACGCAGGCTTTCGTGGGGGAGCTGGCGCAGTTCAGCGTGTGGGACCACATGCTGGCACCAGTGGAGATCCTGGGCTTGGCCAACTGCACCTCTCACCTCCAAGGGAATGTGATTCAGTGGGACGACCAGGCAGTGGAAGTCTTTGGAGGTGCCAGCAAGGCAGGCTTTGCTGCGTGTGAGGAAGGGAAGAAGGCATGAGTGGCGCCGAGCCCTCTCCCCAGCACCGAGGAACCCAGTGGCAGCCACAAAGCAGGGAGCCCCTTTCTCCCCTCCCAGACCAGTAAGCCTTGTCAGGGTGATGCTTGAGCCCCCACACTGGTGTCCCAGGAGGGAGAGGGGACCCTGCAAGCCTCCCTGTTACCCCTGTGCTGGTGGTGTGGCTTGTCCCCACCCCTGGCACAAGCCTGCTCCTGGGTCTCATCTTGCCCTGCTTCTGTTTTGAGTGGATATTGCTGTACCTGCAGGTGTCCCTGGTACAGCGAGGGTCCTCACCTTGTCAGCCCCAACAGGGAATGGGAAGGAGAACTCTGTCTATCCCAAGTGCAGTCCAGCCGCAGTGGGATGCCAGGGTGCAGGCACTCCCTGAATATATCCCCTTTCCTTATTTATTTCTAGCAACCCCACTGTCTGGTTTTACAAACCCACATTCTAGGATCTCCCCTCCAGTCCCATCCCCTCTTCTGTTGCCCTGGTTTTTCAAGCATCACCCCAGGGAAGCCAAGGGAGAATAGCAGGGAGCCAGTGGGCAGTACTCACCATTCTGCACCCCTCCCCCTGCCTCTGCTGCCTGTTCGGGCAGGGCTGCCTGAGGGGAGCCAGGCTTTTGAGGCAGTTGGAAAAGAGCATTCCCCACTCTCTTCCAGTTGGGTGGTTGGTCGGCCACCAAGGGAATGGGGGAAATGGGGCAAAGCATGTCCTCCAGTGCAGGCCAAGGGGGAAGGAGTGCAGCACTGCCATCAAAGGCAGTGAAAGCAAGGAAAAAGGAGATGGAGGATGGTGGTGGTCAGAGGAGCCCTGCCACCCATCCCCCAGTCTTTTGGTTACCGGATCAGGTTGCTGCCCTTGGTTTCACCCAGGCCCCATCCTTTAGCTGCTCCTGGCCAGGAACAGGGCTGCCACTGGCCTTGGAACTGGGAGGGTGATGGGGTGGGCTGGTGTTTCCCCTGTGGAGTGCCTGAGAATACTGTTTCCGTGCCGCGTGGTCACCAACATTTCAATATGTGTGTGTGTGTATGTGCACATGTGTGTGTGTCTGGGGTGGGGTGGGGGGGTTATTTCAGGGCTCTCATGGTTGCTCAATGCAGTGTTCAGCTTGCAGTGCTCCCCCCTTACCCCAAGTCCCACTTTGTGCTTTGGGCAACAGCCACCCCCGCCCCTGGGGGAGGCGAAGCTGGCAGGAGGGACAGCCCTGCCACCCAGCATTCCCCCCAGGCAGGGTCTCTGCCAGCGCTGGGGTGGCTCAGCCTGCTGGGGAGGACGTGGCAGGGATGGGGTGCAGCCTTTGTGCCAAGTGGGAACACTGTGACCTTTGTGCACCCTGAAGACCTACCCCTCTCCCTCGCTGGCTTGTGCGCTTTCTCTAATGCACGTTCATGACGGGGGCCCCTGACGCGCACCTGTGGTGGGACATTTCTTTTGTAAAGCTGATCGTGAACAATAAACGTGATGTTTTCTGTTCGAGCCTCCCACGGGGTGCGAGGTCGCTGCGGGGGCGGAGGGGACTGACCAGCCCAAGCCAAGGTGTCCTCCCCTGGGATGCTTAGGGTTGCATCCCTGAAGGGAGATGGCTGGGCCCATTGCTGGCATTACAGAAATATCATTGCAAGGGTCTGGTATCATTGCTCCAGAGGGGCAGGGAGGTGGTGTCACAGTTTGGGTACTTCTCATCTACCACACTGCAGAGCAGCATGGGGTACAGGCTGCTGCTGGTGCGGTATGAGGTCTGGGGGAAGCACCTCTCCACAGAGGAGGAGCCCCCATCTCAACAACAGGAAGCAGAAACCAGTGAGAAATCATGGCCTCTAGGTCAGAACGTGGTGTCAAGGAGCTCATGTCAAGTATAAATCTAATTAAGTACTAGTAATGAGTTTCTGACCTAGCTAGGCACAAGAGGGTTCAGGCACGGCCCTTGGAGCTCCTGTTGTAGAGCAGCTCGTGACCAGGTCTGAATGGTGCTTTTGCCCTTCAGTAGGTCCTGCCCCTCCTGGGAAAAGCACAATCTCACCTGTATTCTGGGAAAAAAAGCACAAAGCCAGAAGGCTCAGTATTCCCTAAGGCCCTGAGCCAGAACCGACCCCACCAGCTCCCACTTCTGGAGGGTATTTAATGCCATAAAACAAAGTCTGGTGCTCTCACCTTCACCACATCTCCACAAAGCTGAGGGTTTGTTTTGAAGAAAAAGTATGTACTTCAGCTGGAGCATAGGCTCAAGGGCTTTGCTGAGCTTGAGGCTCACCCCCACATCACTAAGAGGAGGGGGTTCAACAGGTGACAGGTATCTGCTTGTGCTCCCAAATAACAGCAGCATAATTAGGAAGGGCAACACTTTTTAGAGGAGAAAATGTCAAGAAACATTGTTGGGGTCACAAACTTAGGAGGAGGTGAAATGAGAGGACTGGTCTGGAAAACTCTCCTATTAAAACTGCAGAAGCCCTGAGAGAGGGCTCTTGGGGCTGCTGGCCAAGGCAGGAGAGATGCACGAGGATGAACAGGGATGGAAACAACCTGGCCACTGATGTAGGCTATTGGCATAAATCTTGTCTCCTCCGCAGCCCAGAAACCCAGCCTATGCTGAAACTGTGTGTAAACGCTCTTCAGAAAAGCAGAAAAAAGGGGGCACCAGGAGATGCTTGAGCAGGGCCTTCTGTGCTGCCCTCTTTGTCTCTGCCAAGTGGCGCTGGCATGATTCCAGCCCAAGCCATGTACCTGAGACGTGTGGATCTGTCACTTCTGGAACAGGAGAAATGGGGGAGCCCGGCAGCACAGCTTCTGCAGGGAGACCTCCTCTCCCACAGAGGTTCACAGCCAGCTGGGCAGACCAGGGGGCACGCAGGAAAACTTGACAGAATTTTCCCAGACCTTTTAAAAGCTTCCAGCAAATGCCTCTGCATAAGGCTCTTCAGGAAACAAAGGCATTTGGGAGAGATTAGAAACTGGTTGGGAAACCCAAAATCAAGAGCAGGAATAAATATTTGATTTCCATCCTGCCCTGGCTCTCTGCAGGAAGCAACGTCTGCTTCTCACCCATCTCAGGAGGAGGAGAGCAAGACTGAGACCATTTCTTTTCAGTAAGCTGAGTCTTGCAAGAGCAGCAAACCTGCAGCAGGGCTTTAAAGGTAGAGGAGATGACAAATCAATGGCGTTGCTGGCTGGAAGGAGTAATTACAATGACTTAACACATATTGCTTGCTTCTAAATTAACCAGGAGCACTCAGGAGAAGCCCCACATTCTCTAAGGGCAGCTGGCTTGAAAACAGTGCATCGCACTCAGAAGAGATGAGGAACAACAATATCACCCTTGGGAGGCTGGGTATAGAGGGGAATTTTTAAAAATGGTGTGAAGAAGGTTTTGTGGTTGTGGTGGGTGCTTCAGCTGGGTTGCTGTGTTGTGTCTGGATATCCAGAATGGGGGGGAAGAAGGGACTCAAGAGGTGGGCAATGCAGAGGCAGGGGCACTGTTGGGCTGTAGCAGTTCAGCAGGAGCTGTCACAAGAGGAGATGGTGTGGGAGACAGGTTGGTGCGATGGATACCACCTGTGTGCCCTTCTCTATCTCCCTGCCCAGGGGCTGTTTACATGCTTTGAGGGGTGGAGAGGGACTGCCATTTCCCTTCCAAATCTGCAGGACTCACAGCTGCAGGGCTTTCTGCAAGCCAAGGGCTTAGCCAGACTCAAACATACCCCCCCCACATCCTCCAAGGGTTTTGTCCAGCAGCAAAGAAGACCAAATCAAACATGGCAATGGGAAACCTTCAGGCCTGATGACTGTTAACTAAAGTGCTGAAATTCTTGAACCCCTCCAGCCCCTGCCCGTATTTCCAGAAGGCACCACTGGCCATGCAGGCTCTGCCTTCCCAGGGACATGGACAGTCCTGGGACCTCCCTGCATTGCAGCAGGCTTTGGGAAGCTCCTGTGCTCCCCAACACCTACAACCTGAGCTTTGGGTTTGCATGTCACAACTCCCTGCAGTGTGTCAGCCTCCTGGTCCCTCAAATGAGGTCAAGCCAGCCCATGCTTGTCCCCGGGAGGTGACTTCCGAAGTCCCCATTTACCCGCTCTGCCCTAGTGATGGGGCGCTGCCTTAATTGCATCCTTGCGCTTCTCTGTCCTGCTGGGAGCCTCCTCTGCTCCCTCCCAGAGCCAGGAAGGCTCATTAAGACTCGTGCAGCACTTGCATAGGGAATGTGCCATGATTCCAGAGCATCTGTCACAGGAACAGCCCCCGCACGGCTGTTAGTGCTGAGGCAACAGACCTTACTAGCAGTAGCTGTTGTTACTAGAGGTAGTAGCTGTGGGATCATATGAGAGGTACTGCATTTCCCAGCAGACCAAGGGATCCAGCTGTCCCAGAGCAGGTTGCCACATCCTACAGAGCAGAGGGTTGAGCTGCTTTTGTCTGCCTCCAATTCCTGATCATCAGCATCCCCATCTCTGCTTTCCCTCAGCTCAACACAACATGGTGGGGCTCTGATGCCAGTGAAATGTGGCTTCAGCATCTCCACAGGGCCTCCTGAGTGCTCCTCCTGCCTCCAGCGAGCTGCATCTATACCACCCCGGGACAGCTGCAGGGTGGACCTCAGTGTGTCCCAAGTCCCCAGCCTGGGCCCTCTGATACTACCCAAGGCAGTGTGGAGCAGTGCCCAGTCCCTGGGCTGTGTCTGACAGGCTGGACAGCAATCACCAGCCCCCTGCTTTATCACAGGGATGTTGGGGAAGTCCCAAAACATGGCCTGAAGCAGGTAAGAAAAGAAAGAAGAGAAAGAAAAGAAAGAAACAAAAGAAAGAAGAGAAAGAAAAGAAAGAAACAAAAGAAAGAAAAGAAAGAAAGAGAGGAAAGAGAAGAAAGAAAAGGAGAAGAGAGGTGCTTTCACCTGATGAAGAGTCAGCCTGCTGTCTGGTCAATAAAGATGGCTAAAAGAAAGCATGAGGCAATATATATGTTATATATATGTGTGTATTTGCAGTTGGTGCTTGCATTTCTGTGCTCAGCTAAGGAGTACAATGCACCCTCATGTCAGAAGGCAAATGGCACTTTGTTTTAATGCTTAATGCTTTCAGCAGCCACAGTGAAGTACAAAGGGCTGAAAGAGTTACCATCTGTGATTAGTGGCGAATAAGGAAGGACCAGCCAGAGCACAGCAATGATTCCAGCTCCTTACAGATCCAGAGGGGTGAATTGGACCCTTGCTCTGGACTTGCTCTCACCTACAGTAGGGCACCTGGTTGCTTGATATGGAAACTAAAGACCAGTACCTGTTACCTGTGTTGGCCCAATAAGCCTCTGACTGGCTTGCAGTGTTGTATAGAGGCAGCCTGCACTTGAGGGTGCAGAAACCAACCCAACTGCTCACATTTTGCTAAGCCACAGTAGATGGAGACAAGCCAGCAGGATGCTCTCCTTCCTCAGGAGGCATCTCTGCCTTGCAGCCTGACCATTATCACCCACCACAATCACAAAACCCACATTGTTCCTATCTTTGACTTCTGGGGTTGGCCATTTTCCCTTAGCTTCTCACCTAGGAGCTGCTGCTGAACAATCATCACAACCAGTCCCAGCATTCCCTGAGGGAAACACCCCCTGGGGTCACATTGATCGGAACCAAAGCACATTTAGTTGAACCCGGAACTGCGCAGGCACACGTGCTGCCCTCCTGCCCCACGCATAGGGGCATAGGCACACAAACACACCAGCTCGCACTGACTTGCTGCTTGGTAGTAAAAGTGGGTGAACTACACAGGGATTAAAGCATTAAAACACAGCAAGAATACGATGTTTGAAAGAGCCGTGTCCCTGGAGAGATTAGAGTAGCTGCCTGGAGATAAAGCAATGATGATGGAAAGATCTACTTCCTCGCAGAGATTCTACTCCTAATTATCTCGTCTGAAAAGAAAAAATGATGATCTCCCAGCTTTTATCTGCCTCTTGACAATTTTAGCTCTGCGCCTGCCGGCCAATGCTTGCCGAAAGGAAGAAGGGGAAGGAATCAGCCCAGGGGGCAGGAGCAGTAGGAGAATGAGGGGCATAGGAGGAAGAGCTTCATTTCTGTCACCGCCTGCAGCGGCGGCAAAGGGAAAGATGAATGATCACTGCAGTGTTGTCTTTCCAAGCCCAAAGGCATCTCTGCTGCCTCCAGCACTGGTCTGTCAGGCAAAGGACAAGCAGGAGGTTGGATTCACTGCTTCACGAGCAAAAGAGACAACAAGGCCATAGGGCACAGCTCGGTACTACAGTGTGAGAACAAGACTCATGAGCTGGCAGGGGCAGAAGAGTGCCCAGCTTGTTCCTCCCCTGCTCTTTTCCTTCTCAGACAGCCAGAAAGCAATTCTTTCAGCAGACAGCCAGCAGTGAGGACATTTCAAACAAACACCAGCCATAAGGACCACATGAAAGATCAGGCCCATGAGCCACTCTGTGAGACAAGGATGGGCACTGATGGAAGCCCAGATGTCACATCCAGCAT